GCTCTCCTTGAGCTGAAGAGCTGAGGGACAGCGCCCAGGCCCAGAGTTCAAGCCCCACGACCGACAAAAAAAAAAAAAGTCTATGCAGATATTCCTAAATCCCAAAATACTCTAAAATCAGGAACACTCTGTTGTCAAGCATTTTGGATAAGAATTAAACTAGTAAGTATTCGTACTAATTTTATTCATATAAGCACTTGAACCCAAAGATCTGGATATTAGAAGTCTTAGACCAGTTTTTTAGAGTTCATGAATCACTGTTCCAAATGTATTTATTACCATATTCTCTATATGCCAAAAACTGGTTTAGGTCCAGAGGATACAGTAGTGAATGAAATAGATGAGAATTTCTGCCTTTAGAGATTACATTGTATAGGAAAAGATGAAGACTAAGATAGATGGATGATACATAAATATATTCATGCACACACATATATGCACATGCATACATATATACACATATGAATGTGTTGTGGCTATATACATAATGTATACAAGTAGTTAATAGGGTGAAAAGAAGAAAAAGAACATAGTTTGAAATGTTATATTTGATGGTTTGAGATGCTTCATAGAGGTGACTTTGAGTAAAGATCTCAAAGAAGTGAGGCCACTAGATCTTAATGTTCAGTGAAAGACATTCCAAACAGGATTATCAAATGAAATATCTGGATGAGCGAGCATGCCTAACATGTTTAAAGATGGAAGGTTATCAACCATTGTAGCTATATGGGAGATAATTAAAGGAAGAAGCATAGACTTAGATAGATCCCACTATTAAGATGGAGAAAAATTGAGATATTTAAGGAAAATAGGCTTTATATGCTGTAAAAATGTACCAGTTTTCCTTTTTTCAAATACCAAATAAAAGTAGAGACTTCTCCCCACCCCCTTTTTTGATTGAGTTTTGCTGTGTAATATCTAGGTTGGCAGGCTAGAATTACAGGTGTGAATCACCACACCCTGCTTCAATAAAAGTACTTTTGCTTGTCCTTTCCTTTTAATAATGTTATTAGAAAAGCCTTGATGTTTGGTTCTTAAGTCATAAAAGAACACATTTTCTTCCTAATTTGTTTTTTTTTTTTTTTGGATCCATTCGTGGGGCCTGAACTCTGGGCCTGGGCGCTGTCCCTCAGCT